CCATAATTCTTCAATGCCATTGTGCCTAATGCACTTAAAATATTACCTAAAACCCATAATACATAACTTTAAACACTAAGCAACCTTAAACCATTATATCAGAGCTTAATCAAAGTGAAAATCAAATAACGAGCCAATAACAAAATCCACAGTACCTGTTCCTTCTTTCGTTGGCTCTCAACGGTTCTCACTTTTCTTAAAAGCCCAATAAGCACAACTCTTGCACGAATTGGATCATATCAATTGAAGAAATGACATCTGTATGAATAAATATAATTCTTGCAACCTAAAAATCTTTTTCCAAGATTGTCATTTGACCAGAAGATCCTCAATTGATTTGGTATTTCGCAATGACAAAAAGGATTACTCATATTAGGGTTTTCCATCCTTTAACTAGAGGAAAAGAAACAAAAAAGAAGCAAAAAGAAGAAGGAATAAACAGAAAAAAATAGGAAAAGAAATGAAATTAAAAAAATGTCGTAATTTTGTGTGTGACATGGAAAAATATGGGCCATGTAAGCAAACCGTTTCTAATAAGTGAAGCCATATGAGATAAACATTATGGTTTAACTATACAATGACTCAAAAAATACTTATTCAAACGTTAGTGACTAAATTGAAACTTTTAACATTTTAGTGACCATTTTAAAATGACTCCAATAGTTACCATAAATAAATAGCAATAGTTATATGCTCAATTACTTGGGTCAAAATTGATTTATGATTTATCTATTAATTGTAGATGGAAAGTTGTATTATGACCAGCATTATGTTACTTGATCCATTCGTTGTATCATTTAGGAAAGCTTCTTCTATTCCAGAAGAAGAAAAGGAAAGTCTATCTTCAGCAAAGAGAATATATGGAGTAGAAAATTAGCGAGATTCGGAAGCAGGATTGTCAATTTGATGTTTATTCGTTTGGTTTCTTTTTAGTATATTTTATTTTTTATGCCATCTCTTTAGAAGGTTTTAAGGAAACCCTTCGCTGGAAAATATAAGTTTATTCTGTGTACCAATTAATTTCTGTTTAGACTCAAAAACTTTTAAGTTACTGTTTGGAGAGCAATTTTCAGTTTGCTTATTGTGAGAAAATGGTGGAAGGTGGTACAGTGAAAGCCGGCTAGACAGAGTTTAAGAAGTGCTGGAAGACAACATGGAAGACTCCCTTATATTATGCGCCTTACACTTTCAGCTGGAATTGGAAGGTTCCTCTTTGGTTACGATACAGGTAAGACGATATTGATAGAGATGAATTTTACAAGGTAAATGATCTTCATTAGTTATTCTCGGTGACATGTCTTAATTATTAATACAAATCCTTGTTGGAGAGTGCAGGAGTCATTTCAGGTGCCCTGCTTTATATCCATGAGGATTTCCAAGAAGTTGACAGGAAAACATGGCTACAGGTTTAGATCCTTCTTGTTACCTTGTTTTGATATGGTTCCCTGTTGGTTCAAATGTTTTACTTGAGTTGATTTTCAGGAAGTCATCGTGAGTATGGTTGTAGCTGGTGCCATTTTTGGTGCTGCATTTGGAAGATGGATAAACGAGGTTCAGGAGAAAACTATCAATTTTGGTTGCTGATGTTCTATTCTTTGTAGGTGACATGATCATGTCTCTCGCCCCAGCTCCATGGTTGATTGTTTTTGGAAGAATTTTTCTGGGTTTAGGAGTCGGAATGGCTTCAATGACCACACCTCTTTATATTTCATAAGCTTCCCCTGCTAGAACCCAAGGTGCACTTGTTAGTACCAATGGTTTGCTAATTACAGGGGGGCAGTTTCTGTCTTACCTAATCAATCTGGCCTTCTCTCATGTAAGTGATAATAATCGCTACAATTGAAAATTTATTTTCTTTTATTAAATAAAGTTTAGGTACAAATATTGGAATGTTTGATTGAACCCCCCACAATTTTATCTCTCTAATTACAAACAAAAATTTTCATAATCAATACTGTTTTGTGTTTTAGGCTCATGGAACCTGGCATTGGATGCTTGGAGTAGCAGGAGCCTCAGCCTTGGTTCAATTTGTCTTGATGTTGTCACTTCCTGAATCTCCTGGATGGCTTTACAGACGGGTTAGAATCTTGTCTTGATTCATGCAATCGTTAAGATTTGGTTCAAGTTGTGTTAAATGCAAAAGGTTTTGACCATTTCGATAAGTTACAAAGAAGATTTAGATTCAAAATTAAAAATAAAAGTGTAAATATTTTGCTGGAGATAACATGTACTTTCTCAAATACATGAATATGATGAATGCATTTTGTAATCCAAAATGTGCAAAAGTTCTCTTTGCCCCTGCCCTTCTAGGAGTCTTTTCCATTTTGCGTATGGTATCGCCACTTCGTTTCACAGCATCTACTAATTAGGAATTTAATTTGAAAGTCATATTTTGATTGGATGTTTTCAGGATGCTCCTAATAACATTTTTTTAATATATATATTTCGTTAGAAATAGTGACTTAATTCCCGTAAGAGATTTGTTTGATATTGATTAAATATTGTTTGATGGATTAGAAGACTTACCAAAGAAAAATTTTAAAAAAAAAAGGATTCTTGATAAGCAAATATATATACTTATAAATAAGTGGAGTCTCTATAGGAGAAAAAGATGTAAGGAGTTCTAAGGTTTTATTAGGTAGACATCCCATAGACTACAAGATGTGTATGTTTGAGTAGACTAAAGGAGAATAAGATGATTCACAAGATGATTCACATAAGTATGGTGTATAGGTACACATGAGTATTTGTTTTGCTTGAAAATATTCTATAGGACTATAGGAGATTGAGAGGGTCTATGAATATTAATTATTGAGTGTTTGATTTAATTGTATGTTTATAATTCTGTACAACTAGTGAATCTTTTTTCTCAGTTATAGATGTAAGTTGGCTAGGTCGAACCACATTAAATTGTTGTCTTTTATGTGGTTGATTAATTGTTTAGTTTTGCTTCCATTGACGTAAATGTTTAATTAATTGAAGGTTTTTTAACCTAACACATTCATCCTTTAATTTACATACATCAAAGCTGAATTTATTTTTCCAAATTCATATTTACAAACATAGCATCAAGTAATTAATGTTGTCAAATTTTTATTAAGATAAATAATGAAAATAATGATCATGTGAATTTTCTGGCTTGATATCCAGAATAAAGCAGAAGATGCCAGGTCTATCCTAGAGAAGATTTATCCTACGAATGAAGTTGAAGATAAATTGAATGCCTTGAAACTCTGGTTGAAGGAGAAAAGGCTGATGAGCAGGCCATTGGGGACAATTTGATAACAAGGGTGAAGGAGGATTTAGGCAACGTTGTTGTCCGAAGGGGGCTTTGTGCTGGGGTGACTGTTCAGGTGGCTCAGCAGTTTTCGGGCATCAATGCTGTTATTTACTACATCCCAACAATGGTCCTGTTCGCAGGATTTGCTTCAGACAAGACAGCTCTGGCGCTTTGTCTTGTCACTTCTGGTCTCAATGCTGTCGGCTCTGTTGTTAGTATGGCTTTTGTTGACTGATATGGCAGGAGAAGAATGATGACCATCTCCATGTTTGGTATCATCTTTTGCCTTGTGATTTCATCGGCTGTGTTCTTTCAAGCTGCCAGCCATGCTCCCAAAATAAACCAATTTGAATCCACCCACTTTGCTACAAATGCTACATGTCCAAGTTACCTTTCCGCTCCTGATCCATCATCATGGAACTGCAATTCTTGCTGGAAAGCTGATTGAGCCTTTTGTGCCAATGGGGCAAATGACTTTAGATTTTGATTATTATAGTTAATGACTTCAGATTTTGATTTTTGTTTATCTTTTACCAATTAAGTTAATCTGATTGATTTGTTTTTCTCTTTTAGTATTCTCCAGGAGCATGCTCGGCAATGACCGAAGATCTAGAGAATTCATGCCATGGACAACATCGTACTTGGTTGAAGGACGGTTGCCCGAGCAAATTTGGATTTTTGGCTGTCATCGTCCTAGGATTGTATATCATTTCCTACTCACCTGGTATGGGAACGGTCCCACGGATTGTGAACTCTGAGATTTACCCACTGAAGTACGGAGGTATTGGTGGAGGGGTGGCTCCAGTTTTTAACTGGGTCTGCAATCTTATTGTCAGTCTGACATTTTTAACGGACTAAAGTTATCGGTTCCTCTGGTACATTCCTCCTCTTTGCTGGCTATTTTGTAATTCGATTTTTTTTCATATAATGGTTTGTACCCGAAACCAAAGGGCTGCAATTTGAGAAAGTTGAGAAGATGCTGAAGTCCGGTTATAAGCCGGCAGCATGTAGGTGCAAGTCAAAGGGTGACGTTGGCAAGAAGATTCAGTCTGCATGGCATGTACAAACACCATCACATCAATTAGTTTTTCTTCAATTAAATGTAAAAGATGTCCAATTTATTTATTTATTTATTGCCCATTATTCTTTCTTGGTGATGATCGTTACAGAAGAAATTGAAGTGAAAATCTGTTCTTCAAATTGAAAATAACGAAACCTTCAGATAAATGGTACTTCCCACTTGTTACCAAATAAATTTCCCAAACTAAAACCATTTCTAAAGCCTCCTCCTAGTTGTCCTAATACTATGCACCAATAGAGAAGAAAAAGGCAATCAGATATCCATTAATCATGTTTTAGGCTATTAAATTTTTGAGTAATATTCTTGCCTTGACTCTTACTTCTTCCTCTTCTATTTAATTCAACATGTATTTCGGTTTTTGATGGGAAGAGAACCATTTCAAACAACCACCCAAGGTTAATCAGCATGGTCGATCTGCATTCAACAGAATATTTCGAAGCTTCACTTTTCATGAAAGTTATTTGCCCCATGAGCAGTACGGTTCCAGAAGCTTATCATGCCTTATTCTTGCCTGATTCATCCGCAAGTATCCGCCTTAGCCGAACGTGCCTAAATGTTACAGTGTTAAATCCACAAATATCAGGACTGAAGCGTAGCTAGATGTTGGAGTAAATGCATGTAACAAAGTGGGTCATTCTCTGAGAATCACGATGTTCATGTAAAGAGTTAAGAAACTTGGTTGTAGTACTTTAAGCAACAAAAGTCTCTTTCTCAACCATTGAATGGTTCAGATTGTTACTCTTTGAACCCTGCTTTGGCTTAAAGATAAGCTTTTAAGTCCAGATGCAGGAATCAAGAACAGATCAAAAGGTAGTTAAATTCTTAAATGTCTCACACAGTAAAGGCTATCAACAATCCCATATTATAAAAAAAAAAAAAAAAAAAAAAAAAAACACCTTACCACCAGAATGTACCATTCTCATTCCCCTATCGGTGCAATAAAATTTTGCGACCCACATTCAGATGATATAAAAGCAGTAGAAATAAGAAAGATAATATAAATCGGCCAAACCAGACTCCCCATTTTGTTCCGTCGTTCACAATAAGTGGCTACAACACTCCAAAAGCTTCCTCTTTTGAAATCATGTCCTACAACATTTCCTCTCATAAGTTTAATTCATTTACAAAATTTGGCCCTTGTAAAAGAAAGTTAATCGAATGCTTCTCTTTAAATTAAAGAATTATCTTCAACCTTACCTGCCAGGCAGCAGTCATATGTCAACACCTCCTCAAGTCAACCCTTTGGGGGATCCGCTGTAGAAAAACAGAGGGAACATGCTAGCTTCTTGGCCCTTCAAGACATATTTATAAATAAGTCAATTTCCTACTGCAAACATCTAAGTCAACCAACAGAAGATTAAGCTCCAAAAAGAACATAAGCATACGGAAACCAACACCAGTGAGCATTAAATAAATAAACTGGAACCTTTATAAGCGATTTAGCTACCTCGCACTTTGCTCATATTCTGTATATTTTCTTCATTTTGATCATAAAACCAACTTGAATCCTTGCGACAGGAAATCATCCCTGGGGAAAAAAATAGAAAGAACCAATATTAAGCATCAGGGTTGTTACTTCAAGAATGGATTACAAGTTTGCATGACAAACTTAATTTATGGCTGTTCCACTAGCAATCTAAGTAATGCACTATAAATATTAGTATACACATCGTGCCTTTCAATTTTATGTTTAAGATTCGAACAAGTTTAAGTTTGTGCATCATTTACCGCTTATTTCGATTTCTGTTCTTCTGTACACCTTGTTCATTTTGTTTCTCATTTTCCTTTCTTTTCTGGTCTTCTATTGGAATCAGGCTTCCTACATAAACCTCTGCACCAAATGTACCTGGACTACCACCAATCTTCACACTCCGCATCTTCTTCTTTTGTAAATCATACCACGCAAACTTTTGATTATTAATCTCCAACAGAACCTTCTCACTAAACTTGGAATATGCTAATGGCTTTAAAAACGTTAGTGTGTTAATGGCTCTAGTTTTTTGAACAGAAAGCAACCTAGACCAAGATTCTTTCACTCCATATTCCTTCATAACCCAGACATCAACAGAAACTTGGTCATAATTACAAACAGCACAAAGGCATCCTTCCAAGACACCCACATCCAACAGATAGTTCTTATTAGCACATTCAGGCTGAGGCACTTCAACAAACTCCTCGGTTCCAAGATCGAAACCAACAATCCTATTTCTCATTCCCAATTCAATTCGCGGAGGCATCACCCAATGCAAAACCCCACCAGCAAGCACACCATAGCCTCGCCTATGCAAAAGATGGTAGAAAAATTGAAACATAAACCGCAGATAAGGAGGAAGCTTAGTGATTTTTCTCCAAGAATCATTCTTTAAACTATAAACCTTAACCTCGTAATCATAAAAGTAACCTTCACCATCTTCATCGTCATTTTGATTAAACTGTGCCATTCTCAACACTTTGTAATCATCAGTTTTAACATCTTGTCCAAACCCATAAAAAACATACCCAGATTTACAAGATTCACCTGGTGGAGGATCAATCTCTGAAACAGGCAACCTACGGAACAGTCTCGTTGAAGGGTTGTACAAGGCAAGATTTTTCTCGGTGATACGGAATGCAAGGAGGCCGTTACAAGAACCAAAAGCTTCTGTACCAGCTCCGTTACTCAAAGGATAGTCGAGGGGAACGGCGGTATCCAGGGCGTCAAATTCCACGGAATAGAGATGCAAGCCTTTGAGGATGATATTGAGATTTGATCTGGTTTGGATGGAACGATTCAAGTGGTCTCTGATGAAATCTGGATCGTCGATTAAGAAGCAACATGGTTTAGACAAGGACTTGAATCGTACGAGAGCCTTCACCGGGAGGCGATATAAAATGTCGGTGATTACATCCATAGGAAGCTTAGACATTTTTTCTTTGGTTATGTGGTGTGTATTCAGGTTTTTTAGATTGGGAGTTTCAGGTTTTTGAGATTGGGGGTTTCAGGTTTAGGTTTGCCTCAAAACAAAGGAATCGTTAATCTAGAGGAAGTGCGCGAGTGCGTCATTCGACAAGTGGCGAAAAGAAGAACTGACAGCAAAAAGCTTATTTTAATTTAAAGGATATTACGTGTCACAGTATTTTTCCTTTAAAATATAAAATCACTTGGGCTCCAGAAACAACATCTCATTATTTATCTAGAATCACGCGAGCGGAGTGAACAAGACAACACACCAACATAGACTACCAACATTGATTGAGAGCGAAGGAGGTGATTAGACGGAAGGGTGTATTTAGGTGGATAATAAAATTAATTTGATGAAATTAAAAATAAAAATAATTATTATAATAATGAAATTAAAATTAATAATAAAAATATATGTTTAAATAAATACAATGGTGAAATAAATTGTAAGAATATGAAAAATAATTATTAAAAATATTAAATTAAAAATTATATGTAATAAAATTTTAAATTATTTATTATTTATAAAATTAATAAAATATTAATTATTTATTAATTATTTTATGTCAAATAATAATTTATTAATAAATAATTAAATAATAATATATTAAATAATATTTTTTATTATATTAAATTAACTAAATTATTTATTGAAAAATTAATAAAATTATTTTAAAATTTTTAAATAAAAAATTTCAAATACAAATAAAATATTAGAATGTTAGGATATTTTTATCCTTATAACATAATTGAAAGAATAAAAATGTAAAAGGAAAAAATGAAAATGGTGGGTTTTTTTACTGCACCTAAAAGCTCCAGTAAAGAAAAGCTGTTAGTCTCACCGGGCATTTGAGATCCAAATGGCATTTTCGCGCTATTTCCACAGATTTTCACACAAAAAGCAATCGCATTGGAAGTGCTTTTAGTTCCAAATCAACTCTAAGGAAATCAAAGTTCAGAAGGGGGACGCGGCGAATTGTGTTAAAGTAAGAGATGGGTCTCAAATTCTGAATATTATTCTTTTCGGTCTCGTATCCAAATCCAATTGGACCCACAATTTCAATCACAAGTACATTTCTTTTCAAATACTAGAAAACAAAAGTCAATGTTCACATTGAGTGTTTAGTGTACGAAAGATCGAGTAAAAGATGTACATTAGAGGGAACAAAGGATTAGAGGACATACACTGGTTTCAATTCGGATGTCCCTTATTTTTGCGTTTTAATTATTTACATAGATATAACTAATTGATTCGAGTTTATTGGCAAAAAATTATTTATTTTAGTTTATAGTTATTCTAAAGTTATAAGACTACATGATAATAATTTCCTTTTTTGAGGATCATTTGTTACGCTCAGTATCTGACATTGAATTACTCGGAGACTAATTTCTTTAGGCGAGGATAGATGAAGAGGGTGTGACCTTTGTCTAAACAACCACAGTCCACGAGAATTCTTATGAGCCCACCAAGTTTACTTGGGCAGCATCAAGGCCTTTGGACAAGCAGCCCACAACCCACCAACTTTATGTCATTTCATAACGTCTTTTCACGCGATTATTATGATTTCACATTTTGTTTTTACTTTTTATCAATTTTCTTTAAAAAATCTAATACTTAAATTTGGTAGCGCAAGACAGAGTGCTGTTTTTCAGCTTGCCACGTGTTATAGTTTTGTTTTTATTTTCTTATAGCTAAAATGTTACACCTACCTTGCACGGGGATTTTTAATTTTTGTAAAATATAATTTAAAAAGTTTTATATTTTTTGTTTTTAAAATTTTTTTAAGAAAAAAGTTTGAAAATTTTATGCCTAGAATTTTTATATGATTGGTTGTTATTAATTTTTTTGTAATTTATTAAAAAATTTCAAATCTAATATTTTTAGTTTTTTAATTGTATATTTTTTGTTTTTAAAATATATTTTTAAAAAATATTTAAATTTTAGATTTGATAATTTTTAAAGAATTTTTTATTGTTTTGTGAGATTTTTTAATTAATTTTCATGTAGATTATTTTTTTCAAATTATTATTTTTAGTTACAATTTTTTTTATCTTAATAAGTGATTCAAATTTAATATGTTAGTTAGTTTTAAGATTTTGAAAGTTAATTTTTTTTTATAAATTAGATTTATTTTTATGGATTTTTTTTATTACCTAGGTGCTTGTTTTTATCTTTACAAAAACATTCGAGGGCATTATAATTGCCAATAATATATCATCATTCTTATTCTCAACTCTTACAATATTTTTTTATTATAATTATAATTAAGTAAATAATCTTTTAAAATTATTTTTATTTTAAAAACTTTTACATGATAAATAAAAAGTTCGTCACATGTCACATGTTAACATACTAACAATTAAAAATATTTTTAAAAAATTAAAAATAATAAAAAATAACACATGACAAGCAATGAACTTGAAACATGTCATTATATTATCTTTTAGGGATAGTTTTTATATATAAAATATAGATTTTAGTTTTTTATTTTTTTTAAAATACTTAATAAATATTTTTTAAAATTATAAAATTATATATTTTAAAAGATTTTATTTTTATGTATGAAACTAACTTATGTCATTTTTTTTATGTTTTCTTTATTTGACCTTTTTTACTTTTTTCTTTTAAAATAAAAAATATTTAATAAAATATTATTTAGATTTTGTATTTTTGGGCCTAACTTGAGTGATGTACAGTCAATAGTACTGTTTTCTTGGACTATGGTATGTCATTTTCAGTTTTTTTTTCATTTTTTTTAGTTTTTTAGCTTTTCTTTTAAATTATTTAATAAATATTTTTTAAAATAAAAAAATATATATTTAAAAAAAATTACTTTTTTATGTTTGAAACTTACTTATATCAAACTTTCTTTTTTTTTTTTTCTTTTTGACCTTTTTTACTTTTTTTGTTTTAAATTTTTTAAAAATTTAATAAAGATCTTTTAGATTTTTTTAAAGACTCACTTAATTCTGTGCCACAGGTTTGTTTTTTTACTTTTTCTTTCCTTATTTTATTATATTTTTAAAATTATAAAATATATTTTTTAAAAGATTATTTTTTTATATTTGAAACTCACTTATATTAAACGTTCTTTTTTACCTTTTTTTTACTTTTTTTTAAATAGTTAATAAATTTTTTTTTTTTAGATTTTTTGTGTAACCCACTTCAATAATATATAGTCAGTAATGCCATTTGCTTGGGCTAGCGTATGTCATTTTTAGGTTTTTTTTCTCTTTTTATTTTTTTTGTTTTAAATTTTTTAATAAATATTTATTAAATAACCAAAAATATTTATTTATTTAATAGAGGGAGTGACGGTGGCTTTGGTGTTTTCAAAAGTTAAACATCAATTGTCCAAAAGCAGTTTATTTCTTAAGTAAAAAATTTGCCTTATGGCCATTGTCAAAACCTTAGAAATTGGGCCACCTATGAATGGGCCGATCCTTTTTCCAACATCTCTCACCTGCATAAAAATAAGTGCAAACTCTCATTATTTAAAAATATTTTATTTATTCTTTGCATCAGATTTGTATGTATAAGAAAATAAGTCATGCAACTAACATATTTTAAGAACTTAATTATTATACGATTATTAAGTGCATATAATAACTTAAAATCACATATAATCATTATACAACGATTAAGTAGGTATACTAATTTTCAAGTATAAGTACAAGTAAAGTAAATATGTAGCACTGTAAATCCATTCAATCATATTCAAGTTTTTCACAATCTCTCTTTTATCATATTGCATGATATACTTGTATATTCATAATTATATTCGATATCTTAAACATAATTGGTCAATCTGTGAATACAACCAAATATGACACTAAAATGATCTTTTTTTCTTTTAGAATCTCTCCATTTCAATTTAATTGCTATCCAAATACGTTCCATTAGGTCGAATCATCAATGATCATTGGTAACATTCCAAGATCACTAATACTAAATTAAAACTTTAAGAAATAGTCGAAAGTCCAAAAGGGTAATAAATATGAGATCTTCTGATCTTAAGGATTTCACACAATAAGAAACAGAGATCTATTTTTCTATTACCCTTATTGGTCAAACAATGTACATGTGATATGAAATACATGATAAAGTATTACTCTCTTTTTTTCAATAAGCATATCTCTTTTATTATTTATGTATCAATGCCATACAAATGATAATTTAGATACTCTAAGTATCTAACTTAAATCTATGAGTCTACTTGATTTTACATAATTAACAAAACTTCCACCAAGCATATTAAGACAAACAAAATGAAGTATGGGTTTATTCATTTTTTATCACAAATCTCAATATCAAGTAACCTTATCTTGATCTTTTTCAAGGTAATTTTATTTTAAGCTTGAGCTCTTGATCCATAACTTTAAACTAATCTCATTTTTATGGTGCCAAACCATTAAGACAATTAATTGTAGGAGAAGGTCAATTATCTGTCTGACATACTTTTCAAATTACATTGTATATGTACACATACATATATATACATACATTACAAAAAAATTTTCATATACTAACACTTACCTATACTAATGGTCAAATTACGTACATAAAAATGATCTATATTGATGGATTTTTGTTATTGTTAGTATAAACAATGCCTATACCAACACTTTATTCTTTTATTGGTGTACATTGATATTTTTCTAGCAATATATAAATATCCTTTAATATACGTATTTATATACTAATAGATTATATAATAACTATCGATATAAATTTTAACCAGTAAAAATTAACCATGGGTAAGTCATATTTATACTAACGAAAGTAATTGGTTGTCAATAAAATCATCAGATATACTAACGATTGTATCAAACTATCAGTATAAACAAAAAAATTTGGACAATGCTAGCTTATGCTGACTACCTCATATGATAACCCACTAGTAAAAGTCAAAGTAAGGTATTTCTAAGCATGGTTTTTTATTTAGAACTTTTGTTAGCCTAACTTGTGGTCATTCCTCTTCAAACCTTTTTGTTCAACTTAGTTACAACATATCTAATCTTGTGCAAATCCTTTTCTATTGTTGTTATCTTTCTTTCTCTTTGTCTATCAATTTTAAAATCTAATGTTGGCGATAAAAGGAAAGA